TATATATATATATATATGCTATAGGTTGGATCTGTAGGGAAATGCTGGAACCTTTAACAGGTGGAGAATAGGGAGGAATTTATATACATACATTGGGGGTGTGACCTTGAAGGAGATAACAGATGGGTGGGCCTCAGACCCTTCCACCATCCTCTCTCCCTCTTTTTCTCCCACCCCCCTCTTTTTTTTCCAGGTCACTGAAGTGAATGGGACCTCCTCTACCACGTGCTCCTGTTGTGATGTACTGTGTTGCCACTGTCCCAAAGTGACCAAGCAACCACAGGCTGGTTTCAGACTGTGAGCCAAAATAAAACTTTCCACTTTTTAAGTTGTTTATCTAAGGTATTTTGTCACAGTGATGACAAAGCTGACCAATACAATGTATAAATATTTCAATGTCAAGGAGCAGGAGTTGAAGTCAGGCATTGTGGTTTGTGCCTATGATCCTGGCTATTTGGAAGACTGAGGCAAGAGAATTGTGAGTTCAAGGTGAGCCTGGGCAACAGAGTGAGAACCTGTCTAATAAATAAATAAGCAAACAAGGGTTTCTAAAAAAAAATAATGGAAATGCTAATATAATAAAGTTCAGTGGAAGAGAAAAACAAGACATTAAATTATAAATATATATTATAATAAGGAAATTTACTTACACAGAGGGAAATATAGAGTTCAGGGTAGTAGTTGAGGCCCAGATGGCTAAGTTCAAGTCCTGGCTCTAATATCAACTTGACTACATGATCTCAGGGAATTTTTTTTTTTTTTAGCTTTTGTTAAACTTCAGTCTTCTTATCTACAAAATAAGAATCTTCCTCTATTATACCTCTTAAATTGCTGTGGAGATTAAAGAAGCCTATTTATGAAGTACTTAACCAGCATCTGGCACACAATATGAATCAAATCACTTATCTTTGGAGAAAAGATTTATAAGCAGTTGCTCTTGTACCACTCTACTATCAACTTCCCACAAAAGGATGTTTTTCTTTTATATTCAAGGTGAGAAATGGAGAAGGAAGAAAGAAAGGGAGGGAGGGAGGAAAGATCTTCTTCCCTTGCTACTTCTGTGTTCTGAGAAATTGTTAGCAAATAAATTAATAATTTATCAGATTTTTTAAACTTTAGCAAAATGAGAAATCCCAGCTTATGTCTAGATAACTGGAATTCCCCCAAAAAACTGTTTTATGTCTTTGGAGGATGTGCATTAGGTAAGCATTCTCTGCAAACTTCCTTTAGCCCCGGGGGCGGGGGGGGGGGGAATAAGATTTTGGTTTTGTGGTTGTCCTCCTTATCCCTGACCCCAGAGCTCTCCATATTGATGAACAGACCACTTAGAACTTTCTTTGCAGATAAGACTACGCAAACTTCCCTTTCTATTAAAATAGTCTATTTTAAGAAAGATATGGCCTTCCATTATCACTATCAGTCATGACTCATTCCCCCAAGTTGATGCTGCTTATGAAATTTTAGTTTTCTTCCTCAGTCACATGAACATCTTGCTTTATCTAGTCCTTCACAATCTTCATATTGGAAGCTGGAAATGTAAGGTCACAAGCAAAGTTCTGGTCCAGTTGCCTACATTTTAGCCCAAGAAGAACTGGGCTCTATTATCTCTATTATCTTGTGTCTGTTTCAAAAAGATTTTTTTTTTTTTGCATTCATTCCTCAATTCTGAGTGTACATGGTAATCATGAAACTGAAACTACACTAAAACAGTCAGATAGAGAGAGAGAACATAGGTTCGTTCAACCGAAAATTCCAAAAGGTAGAGTTAGCTTCCAACAGGGCAAAACCCAAGTGTGCTAATGAGTTTTGGAGAGGTATTTCTTCCTCTCCAATTAGGCTCAACTTTTCTGCTTACTGAATTCATTCTCAGTCTCATTAACGCTCAGTCTCCTAGTAGCAGCTCCCAGCCAACAGTCTATCATCCTTACACCTCTAATAGAGCAAGAAAGCATTTCCTCAACATCTGAACAAAGTCCAAGAGACAGCTCTCAATGATCCAGACTGGGGTCATGTGCCCCACTCTGAACCAATCAGTGAGATTTTGATAGCTCTTTCTGGGTTGGATACTCACCCTTGGAGCCAAAGGATGAGTTCAACCCTCTTGGGCCATATGGAGGAAGATGGATGGTTTCCCTTCAAAATTAAAGGGGCTGTTAAAAGAGGGCAGGACAGGGGAATGGCAGGACAGACAGCTCAGTGGAAAGAGCTTGTCTTGCATGTGTGAGGCCCTAGGCGAGAGCCCCAGCACCAACACCATAGAATAATATTTTTGAAATAAAAAGAGGATAGCAAAAGGCTGCTAATCAGACAACAGCAACAGCTGTCCCCTATGTGGCTCATCAAAGTCTTTTAAAATGCCCTGTGATACCACTAGAAAATCTCCTGCCTGGCCCATTCTTGCCCATGTCTGGGGCATTCTGTGCTTTGCAAGCAGACTTGTACTCTAGTATCTCGGGCTCTGGCCCAGGAAATGAAATCTTCTTCTGCACCATTGACATTGCCACTCCCTCCCTCCCAACATCCTTTCCTTTCTCTTTCAAAGTCACAGCTAGCTACCAGCTGCACGAAAAGAAGCTGCACCACCTGTGTCCCTACATCCTTCAATATCCTTCAGAGAACTTTGAAATTTCCAGAGACCTATTTCAGATTTGTTTTGACTACACCATTTTGCTGCACATGAATCAGCAGAGGAGGGCAGTAGATGAAGTTTCAGTGAATAGCTCCCATCCTTCTCAGACCTATGAACTTCAGAACCATGGTGCTTGCTCACCAGGGCTGGTCTCGGCAAGGAGTTGTCTCTCCGAATGCACAAGGGTTTTCCCCACCTGCCTATGGCTGTATGTACACTACGGTAGCCGGCAGGGTGCTGAGGACACCCTACCATGTCCAGGGCTCCAAGTCCTGTTTCCACTCTTATCCTTTCCGGGAACACTGGGTACTTTACCTCAAATGTATTTTTTTTTTAAAGCTAGGCCATGGATTCAAGAGTACTCATTATATTTTAACTAGTCTTCTGAAATATTTCATAAATTTTAAAATCCACAGGTTAGAACTCAAACCCACAAACAAAAAAAGCCAATCTGATTATGTGCTCTCTAGCTCATGGCCCAAAGGATGACGTCCTAACTGGGTGCACAAAGTCCTCCGTGATATAGTCTAATCCTCTTTCTTCTCACATATTAAGGACTGTCTATTTGTGTGCTCCCCAAATTCACATGTTTAAACCCTAACCTTCAATGTGGTGGTATCTGGAGATGGGGCCTCTGGAGTAAATTAGGTTTGCTGGGTCACAATGATGGCATTAGTGCCCTTCTAAAAAAAAAAAAAAAGGAAGAGATACTAGCTCCCTCCCTCCTTCATTTTCTCTCTCTTTCATTTTCTCTCTCTCCCTCTCTAGATGGCCCTATCCTCCTGCCATGTGACAGCACAATTAGAAGACAACCATCTGAAAACCATGAGGACAATCTTTATCAAGAACATAATCTGTCAGCACCGTGATCTCCATGCTCCAGAACTGTGGGAAATGTTTGTTGTTTAAGCCATCCAGTTAATGGTGTTTTGTCATAGCAGCATGACCTGACTAATACAGCACCTTCCCTCCGACAGCCATCACTTCAGGCATGTTGAACCATTCCTTAAATGTGCCATCTTCTCCCTGGACTGGACGCTTTGGAATCTGTATTTTCTTCTCTTTTTCACAAAACTAACTCCTATCGACTCACTGTATTGAGTCAAATAGGTTAATAAAAAGATCACATAATGCAGTGGCTGAAAGCGTGGAAGTTCCTTTATGATGTAATAGATCTGAGACTAGCACTTCAGGGTAGTGGGAAGCTCTGTTCTTCTTGATCCACCTGCATGACTGAAACTGGGTCACCTTACCATGCAGATTACAGCCTGCAAGTCAGTTAAAAGAGAAGTTAGAGGAGGCATACTAGGATGTTCTAAGGCCCAGATTCTGCAGTAGTCCATTCATTCCCATTCATTCCATTGGTGAGAACTGTGGTCATATGTTCTCAACTAACTGCTGGGTATGCTGGGAAATGTAGTTCCTTTCTATGCAGCCATGTGCCTGCTTACAGTTATTTTGTAACAAAAGAAGGAAGGAAGGAATTTCAATAAACAGTTGAAGCTCAGGCTTTAGTTCCTCTGCAGAGCCTTCTCTACCCCTGATCTCTCTAATAGATGTCCTTGTGAGCACTTAGTACCCTACAAAGAGCCATCTCATTAGTTGCATATCTCCCCAGCTTCACTCCTCTTCCTGTCCCCTATTACATTATAAGAACAGTGAATGTTCTGCCCGGCAGCCTGGGCCTATAAATCCCAGCAGCTCAGGAGGCTGAGGCAGGAGGATTGCAAGTTCAAAGCCAGCCTCAGCAACTGCAGAGAGGCCCTAAACAACTCAGCAAAACCCTGTCTCTAAATAAAACACAAAAAGGGCTGAGGATGTGGCTTAGTGGTTAAGAGTCCCTAGCTTCAATCCCTAGTGCCCCCCCACCCAGAAAAAGAAAAGCAAATATGGCTCTGTTTCCTTCATGCCTGGCATTTGCTAGACATTGAATCCATTTTGAGTTAAATATGGAGGAATGACTATAATTTGCAGAGCTCCATGCACAATGAAATTGCAAGGCCCCTTGTTCAAAAATGAGCATTTTTAAGATGGTGACAGCAGAGCCTTAAACCAAGGGTGGGGTCTTTCTTAGTGCAGGGCCCCTTGTTCCTGCACAGGTTGCACACCCATGAAGCCAGCCCTGAAAGTATGAGCAAATAAATGAGTCAAATATACCACCATGCATCCTCCTCCATAAGAAAAGCCACCTGCCTGTGGGGTACTCAATGCAATGATTAGAGATAAATCATGCTAGTAAGTAATGGGGAAGTAAATCTTTCCTCTAAAAAACGAACTCAATAGAGGTCATCCCAATGGCAAGAGCATCTGACATTTCCCAATGCCTTGTCATTTGGAGGATGGAGCTCAGCAGCCGGTGGGCTACCAAGTCGTTAGTGGTCCAGATGTGCAGGATCTCACCTCCTACAAGGTCCCCCTCTCAGCCAATCATCACAGCAGCAGGAGTCATCACAGTAATTTTCTTACAGCCTCGGAGCCTCTCAGAGTTGAGAAGACCTTCGAAATCATTGCCAAGCTGTTCTCTAGCATCTGCTTAGACACCTCCAGCGACAGGGAACTTCCTACCTCCTCAGGCAGCTCCTTCTGTTTTTGACAGCTCTGCGGATGGAGTTCTTCCTCAAGTTGAGCCAAAAACCTACTTCCTCGTGACTTCCACCCACTGGCTCAGAGCCACATGGAGGAACTTACAGGTGTTTAAAAGGCTCTAATGTTCACCAGAAAGTAGAGGGGGCCAAGGAGCTGCCCAGAGATGAAGGAGACCACTGATGGGCTTGGCTCAGGCCAGGTTAAACTTGATTTTTTTTTTTTCATTGGTTGCCAACATTGAAAAATCTGGGGAACTTGTATAACATGTAGACTTCAAAACCTTCAAAACTTGGAAACTCTGGCAATCCTGGGCTCATAATGCCACAATTCTATTTGCACTAAGAACACTGATGAATGGCTATGGAGTGGACAACTGCCAATCTCTTCCCACAGTCTGATGCACTGCTACTTGAAATCCAGGCAAAGTCATTGAACTTAATGTCGGAGCCCTTACGCTGATTCGTATGTTTGTTGTTTAAGCCATCCAGTCTATGATGTTTTGTCATAGCAGCATGTCCTGACTAATACAGCACCTTCCCTCCCACAGCCATCACTTCAAGCATACACCCAGCTTCCCCACCATAGGGGCAGTCAATGAGTTGTAGATTTATGTCTTCAAATTGGCTTTGCAGGTGTCTCATTCCTGCTCAGAGGTATTGGCTGATGCCCCAACAGTGACATTGTGACTACGGCAACATGACGATAGACGCTACACTTGGGAATGTTGAAACAGATCATAATATCCTGGATCAATAGTGATTACACACTTGCCATATCAGTCTATTGAGGTTGCGGCTCAGCCATAGAGCGCTCACCTAGCACGTTCGAGGCCCTGGGTTCGATCCTCAGCACCCCATAAAAATAAATAAATAGGGCTGGGGATATGGCTCAAGCGGTAGTGTGCTCGCCTGGCATGCGTGCGGCCCGAGTTCGATCCTCAGCACCACATACAAACAAAGATGTTGTGTCTGCTGAAAACTAAAAAAAATAAATAAATATTAAATAAATAAATAAAGGTATAAAAAATAAACAAAAACAAATTAACATACCTTGCTTGGGCCACTCTTATTTTAGATAGTTATCATTATCAATTAAACTGTTTGTATCTGTTATATAATTTTTTGTTATTGTCTTTTCTATTTTTTTTAAACCATGCTTTGAACCCAGGGGTGCTTTACCACTGGGCCATATCCCCTTCCCTTTTCATTTTTTATGTTGAGACAGAGTCTCTCTAAGTTGCTTAGGGCCTTGCTAAGTTGCTAAGGCTGGCTTTGAACTTGTGATCCTCCTGCCTCAGCCTCCTAAACCACTGAGATTACAAGCCTCTGCCATTGCATTCACATCTTTTCTTAAATTGAGTTTTGATTATGGAAAGGACTCAACATATACAAAGGTAAAAAGACTAATTTATAAACAAAAAGAAATTAATTGAGACCCTTATATCATACACAAAAATTAATACAAAATAGGGCATGGGTCTAATTATAATAGATAAATCTGTAAGAAGAAAACTTAAAAGAGTAAATCTTCATAGTGTTGGTTTTAAAACTAATTCCTTAGCGATGACACCAAAAACATCAATGATAGGAAAAAAGATGGATTGGTTTTCATCAAAATTAAAGTGTTTTGTGCTTCAAACACCACCACCAAAAACAGTGAAAAGACGGCCCACAGAATGAGGAAAATATTCCAAATCACATACCTGATAAGGACTTGCATTCAGAATAAAGAAGTACTGCAACTCAGTTAAAAATCACTTTAACTGTAAGCTTTGCACACAGTAGGGCATGCCTATTGTCACAGTTACTTGGGAGGTTGAGGCAGGTGGATCGTTTGTACCTAGAGATTGTAGGTAAGTCTGGACAACATAGGGAGACTGCCTCTAAAAAATAAAAATAAAATAGAAGTTCTAAATGTGCTAAGAATTTTAATAGCCATTTCCCCAAAGAAGATATGCTAATGGTCAATAATAAACACATAAAAGGGTGCTCTGCAGCATTAGCCATCAGGGAAATGCAAATCAAAACCACAGTGAGATACCACTAGCATGGCTGGAATCAAAAATAGCTAGTGTTGGCAAGGATGTGGAGAAATTGGAACCCTTGTGCATTGCTGGTGGGAATTCAAAATGGTGCAGCTGCTGTGGAAAACAGTTTGGCGGTTCCTCAAAAAGTTAAACATAGAATTACCATATGATCCAGCAATTCCACTTCTGGATATATATACCCAGAAGAATTGAAAGCAGGAACTCAGATATTTTTTTCACCCATGTTTTTTAGCGACATTGTTCCTTACAGCCAAAAGGTGAAACCAACCCAAGTATCCATCAACAGAAGAACGGATAACATGTGATAGGTACCTAACAGGGAATAGATTTAGTCATAAAATGAAATGACATTCTGGCACATGCTATAACATGAGTGACCTTTGGAAGCATTAGGCTTCATGAAATAAGCCAGATACAAAGGTACAAATGTTATATGATTCCACTTATATCAGATACCTAGAAGAGGCAAATTTATAGCCACAGAAAGAGGAACTAGGGACAGAGGGGAAAGGGAAGTTATTGTTTAAAGGGTACAGAGTTTCTTTTTGGATGTCGAAAAAGTTCTGGAAATAGTGGTGGAGATTACACCATATTCCAAATGTACTTAATTGTACACTGAATTGTACTCTGAAAAATACTTAAAATAGCACATGGTATATGTATTTTGCTACAATGAAAAATAAATAATATCGGCCTGGGGATGTCACTTGGTGTACAGTGCTTGCCTACCATGAGGTCCAGGTTCAATTCACAGTATCCCAAAAATTAAATTAAAAGTATAGAAGACAGGTTATGTATCAGGTATTGGTAAGAGTGTGAACAAGTTGGAATCCTCATACATGACTTTTGGAGAACAGTCTACCAATTTCTCCAGATGTTAAACATGTAGTTACCCGATGACCTGTCATTTTCACTTTCAGGAATACCCAAGAAAAAGTAAAATAATGTCCACACAGAAATTCTTACATGAATGTTCATAGTCGCATTATTCATAATGGCTCTTAACTGGAAACAACCCAAATGCCCGTCACAAAATGTAAATAAATGTCCACCTAAGTTAACAATTTAAAAAGGAACAAAGTACCCGTGCATGCTACAACACGGATGAACCTGGAAAACATTTGAAGTGAGAAGAGCCAGTCATGAAAGACTACAGTTTGTATTTTTCCATTCCCATGAGATGTCCAGAATAAGCAAATCTGTAAGGATAGAAAATAGGTCACTGGTTGCCAGGGGCTGAAGAAAGGAGGGATGAAGAGTGACTTCTAATATGAATGGAGTTTCTTTGGGGAACAATAAAAATGTTCTAAATTTAGATGGTGGCCATGATAACTCTATAAAAACTATGAAAAAAAAATCATTGAATTGTATACTTGAGTGAACCTTAAGGTATACAAATTATATCTCAATAAACCTATTTGGGGGACTGAGATGTGGCTTGGTAGGACAGCACTCACATAGCAAGGACAAGGCCCTGGGTTCGATCCCCAGCATCCCACA